GGAAGGAAGGAAGGAAGGAAGGAAGGAAGGAAGGAAGGAAGGAAGGAAGGAAGGAGGTTAATAGCTGCAATATGGTAGGCACAACATTGTGATACAATCCATCACCCCTTTGGACACCACTGATTCAAGTTCAACTCAAGTGAGAGATTATTTAAATGGGGGGAGGATAAAGAATGGGTACTAAAGCTGCTTTGCTTAGCCACATCCATTACATACCTGCCAAATAGTCCCCCCAAAACAAATCCCTCAAAAGGCAAAGCAAATTGGCTTAACCTACACCAACTTGAGGGCATTAGTCATCCCTTTTGGGACCTCAGAGGCCAAGGATGAGGATGAGCATATTGTGGACTGCAGTTGACAAAATGTTGCCCAGCCTTTAACTAAAGAAAGTTTCTGATTTCGCAACAATATCTTCTTCGTGTCTATCTTTTGAAAGCAGTATTTCTCACTAGATCTTAATAAAACCAACCAGAGGGTTTTCCATGCTGACATAAGCTCTAGCTTCTTCGAAACAGCTAAATTTGCATCCGATGGGTCAAAATCAAGAATAATTCCTAGATATTCAAATATAATAAGAGGATATGGCCAGAAAATATTAATCCACATACATGTTCCACAAAGCCTTCTTTAAACTATATGCCCATACAGTTTCGGAAAAGCACGAAGGGGACACAGTGTTCCTGTCTGTAAGAATGCAGCTTTCTGTGATGAGTTGGAAGGGAGCTCCATTTACACTCATTTGTAGCCATTGTATAATCAAGAGCCCTGATAAAGCTGAATATTCAAGCAAATGTCAGTGGAAGCCCCCTTACAGTTATCCACCTTTAATCCTAGGAAGCTGGAAGTTTCGAAGGTGAGGCTAGTTTACATAAGAATGTTGGGAGAGAAAGAGGCTACCCCATCTTTTAACTTGAGTTTCTGCATCACCTTTGGGCATAATGCCTGAATGGAATTAATTCATCTTGGAGAAACTTTAAAGGCTACCCTCAAATTTGGCCAATCCAACTATTACAATCATCCAATATCTTTTATCACAACAAGCCCACTTCAAACACATTGGCCATTTCCCTGTACCTTTAATACTCAGTAGGTATGGTGATGGGAGGGGACTCTGTTGACCATGTCAGCATGCAAGGTGAGACCGCTTCACTTTCATGACAGATTCAGATGTCTATCAGCTGCCAAAAGGAATATAGGAAAGAGGAGATCAGGGAGCTGGAGAGAACCTTTCTACAGATAGATGGTCAGAGGGTCAGGTGGCATAACTTTGTTCTGGTTTAGATTTTGATCCAAGCTGGAAAGAAGTATTGTAGAGAGTAAGAATGTGATGGAAATGTGCAAGAAATGTTATCTAGACTAAAGGGGCTGAAACAATTTTAAGAAACAAGATAACACTCAAAAGCATCTCAAGCAGACCTCTCCTTGATTCACTGGAGTATAAGAAGGGTACAACCTGATCAAACTTGCAAGATTTTGTTATTACAGGCAATCTCAATAAAAATAGTTTTAGCCTTCCTTTGGAGTTGAGTTTCTGGTCTGGTCTACCTGGTGGGGTGACAAGTATCTTCACTGAGTCGTTGTTTAGAGCCACTGAAGGCTGTTCCTCGGCGTTGCTCAGATGGACCATACCAATGTCTCCATGACATAAAAGATTCCAACAAATTGGAGCTATTACTGTGAAGACTCTCATGCCACTATTTTGAAATGGGCTAACACCCCAAAGGAGAGATTTTTAGTGGTGGGGGAAACACCAGTGAGATGAAATGCTCCCTGCCTAACTTCTGCCATACAGCATCCAAAGCAGCTGCCAGGATTTAACGGTCATGGATCCTCTAGAGATAACTGAATTTTTATTTCCCCTCTCCCCCAGTCCCATTTGTTTGTTTTGCAGTTAGTACACCGGCCTTCAGTGCGTTCTGTTCTTCAGGGCTTATTAAAGAAACGCCTGCTTCCAGCAGAACACTGTATCACAAAAAGTGAGTAGAACAGTACATTTAACTTTTATGTAAACTGGCCTGAAATGCAGGACATGAATTCCATATTGTCCTGGGAAAGTTTCCATCAAGTAAAGAATGTGTGTAGTGCTGTTAAGAGAGTACTAAGTATGAATTCCATTCTAACCCCCTTTTCTGAAACAGTCAAGAGGAATTTTAGCAGCGTGGCCGCCTCCTCGGGCAATGCACCCCTCAACGGAGAGGATGGGGTAGAGCAGACAGCGATCAAAGTCTCTCTCAAATGTCCAATCACATTCCGGCGGATCCAGCTCCCAGCAAGAGGTCATGATTGCAAACACGTACAGGTGAGTGCCTTCTCATGTCCCATTAATGCAAGATGGTGCAACATTTTATTTGTTCATTTAATAAATTTGTATAGCCACCTGTCTAATTAGGGGGATTCTGGGCAGGAAACAGAGAGATAAAACATTGTACAAATTTACAAATCAAGCCGAGGCCCCTTAAAAAAAAATGCATTGCTAACATCTCTCTCTCTCTCACACACACACACACACAAACACAAACACACACATACCAGAGCCCCATTAACATCCTGGCCTGGGGGAAATACCAGGTTTTCACTGCCTTCCAGAAGGCCAACAGACTCTTCCACAAGACCACCATGACATGTTCCACCATGACAGAGAAGGCACATCCAACCTACCAAGCTGCAGTCAATATTCCTCCCATCCAAGTACTACCCAGGATGGACTCTGCTGTTTTATGTGGTGAGGATGAGGATGATTTGTATGCTGCCTACTCAAACGACTCTGGGCAGCTTACATAATTACGTTAAAACTATCCATAAAATCCCATAAGTATTGAAATCTTTAAAATTCTTAAAAGTTGGCTGCTGTCTTCCATAAAACTCACTCCTCTAAATTAATATTGTAAGGGATGTTTTTTACCTGTTTCCTACAGGATAAAAAGGGTGGGGACTAGCCTGTCCTCATGAACTAAGCTATTCCAAAATGAGGGGATTGCACTGGAAATGCCGTTTTCTAGGTTCTCACCTTCTTGATCTGTCAGTTAATCCGCACATCCTTTCCCGATCAGATTGTGTGCGTTGGATAAATTCTATCTATTTAGCTTTCAAGATCAGGCACATTCAGGGAAGTAGACCATTCCTAGCTCATCAGCTAAATATTATGGCCTTGACTACACCCTACTTTCACAGTCTCAAGCAGAATGGCAAAACCTGGAGCATTATTGAGCTACCAGGTATGAGTAGCAGGCTTGTTTTGACCAGGCACTGTGGCACATGGATTTTAGTGGCCTGGCTTGGCTGCTGTGGTGTGGGCATGAGTCAGCAGAAGGAGAGAGAAAAATATGGAGAAGAAGCTGAAGTATGGCCTTGGAGTGCAGTTGTGCTAAGACCAGAGCTGATCAGCTGACCTTGCTGGTAGCCAGGCTGTTGTGGGGCAGAGGAAGGCAGCACTCCCATTGGCCAAGCCTTGTACAGAAGGGGAAACCTTCTTCAGTTGTTGGGGGGCATGCTGCTCATCTGACCTGTGGGGAGAGAGAGAGAGGAGAAAAATGGAGAGATATGTTGCCATGTTTTAGCAAGTGTCGCAGTATGTACCACTGAAGAGAGTGTTATGTTACAATTTTGGATGGAGATAAACATTGTAGTAAGAGTCTGGGAGAGTTTGTGTGTGCGGTGGCAATTTCCTGACCCCGGAAGGGAGAAGAGGGTGGCTTCCCTTGGCAGAAGAGAATCGAAACCCCAGATAGAAGGATGAACTACACTTAAATCCAAGGCAGGCAGACAGGGACAAAGGGCAATGGCTCTCTGAAGACAGATGCTTGGAGTCTTCAGGTAGCTCTGGACCAGGAAGAGCTGGGCAGAAGACCCAGAGGAAGAAGACCTAAAGGGGGTGCATCATGCAAGGTCTGCATAGAGGGTTGCCTGATGAGATTCAAGAAGGCAAGATATGCTGAGCACACTCCACAGTAATGCATTTAATTCCCTTCCTATCTCTCTCTCTCTCTCAGTGAGGAACCAAGGGGGAGGCAGGAGAAAGGTGTGTGTGTGTGGGGGGGGGGGAGCTGGTAGCTTTCCAAAGGAGTGGGTGATTCTTTGTAAATACCCTGAGAAAAAGGCTGGCAGAAATTAAGAGTTTTGTAAACAGAAATTCCTACTTGCCATAAATAGTTTTGTAAAAGATCCATAAAAGCCACCACTTTCTCTGTGTTGCAATTGTCCTAATTAATGGTAAAAGCACCCCCAGCTTCTGAAGAACCCACAGGCACACTGTGACCAGGACGACTTGAAAACAATCCACCGGTCAGTCTGCGTAAGAATCTGTCCTTCGATGAATGAATGTATTGCCCAACTTTAGATGAGTTCTCAGTTCCTAAACAACTGGAAAAAAGAGGTGGGTGGCTGAGGTTCCATTGAAAATGCAGCTTTTTCACATTTACTATAGAGCCAACCAGGGGCTTGCATTGGCTGGTCTTCTTGGCATACTGCAAGTGTCATGTTTATTGAACCCTGGAATCATAAAACATTTCAATGAGTTTTGGTGGTTGTGGAAGAATTAATAAAAATAAATGCCATCGTAGGCTACTAATGCAACAGAAAACATCTATTTGTGTGTGTGTGTGTACATCTTTTGAATCAGTTATTTAATTTTTGTGATAAATACAAAATTTCAAGGATGTTGCATCCTAATGGTTTATTTTAAACCCAGTACCTCATCTTTGCACATTCCTTTCACATCAGTTAAGCCAACATTCAGTTTAAAAACAGAGTCAGAACACAGACATAAAAATTCACAAGTTGGCCTCGCCTTAACTAAGTTTTTAGTTAGAGCCCTCCAGAAGAACTGGAGGGCATCCAGAAGGGCATCAGTGTTGGACCAAAGTTAGGATGGCAGCCATGATGGCATGGGGCTTTGATCGCACAGTCATGGCTACTCAAACATATTTAAATTGCATTGAATTGTGTACATTTTTCCTTCCCCCCCCCCTTAATTATTCCTTTATTTATGATTGGGGGAATGGGGAAGAGATCATTGGACAAATGCCTTTTTGCCAGATTATCCAATTTAACTTTTGGATTTCTCATTGACTTTATTGGAACTTTTACATCAACCCTGGGGACCTTTAAAAGCAATTTCTCACTGCAAATAAGGCTGTATCCTATCTGGAAAAATAGACTGTTCTTAAGCTGTACCTGTTTAAATATATGCTTTTATCTACCTGTTAGTCGCTTGATTAAGTACCATTCTATAAGCAACACAGAGAGCACAGTAAAATCCATATGCAACATATTCAGTTGCCAGTAGGATTCAAAATAAATTGGACATACAGAAGAGCTAAAAACAGTCAGAATGAACAAACAACCAATAGTTTTAATAGCTTAATATTAAAATGCTAATTAACCTGATGCTGAAACCCTGGGAAAACAAAAACATTGTATGTTGGTACCCAAAAGACATTAGAATGATTGTCCCCAAAACCTTCTTCAGGGACACTCTGAGCTGTTCCTGCCCTTTGGCTATGTTAATCCCAGTTTCTCCCAGAAGTAAATGAACTTTCTTTCCAGCTGCTTGGCCTTCAACCTCCCTGAATTCCTATGGGGCTATTTGATGGTGGGGTACTTTTGACATTGTTAAGAGTTATACATGCACATACTGTATCTTGGAATATCCTCCCCACCCCCAAAAAATCTGCCAATATTACTTGGGTATATTTGGGTTCTAATTCCCTTAACCCAGTTGCATTTTTTTTTTTTTTAGAATATAATCTATGTTTCCCACCCCAAACTTTCGGAGAAGTTTTTCCACAGATATGTGCTTGAAAATATAGATATAGATATCTTCTTCTATAACTTTGGATCCTAGTGTTTTTAATGATTAAAACTATTAATTTTCTTGTCGCGGTTTGAAGCACACCCTGATGTGCAGGGCTTTTCTCTTCCTGACATGCATTTGATGGAAAGGCTTCTCTTTTTCATGTGCACCCAACAGGAGCATTGTCTCTGTAGCCACATCTTTAGTTTTCTTTGCACTTCAGCTGCACCATAGTTTAATTAAGATTTTTCCCCCTTTTTTCTGCAGTGCTTTGATCTGGAATCCTACCTCCAGCTGAACTGTGAACGAGGCACGTGGAGATGCCCTGTATGCAAGTGAGTGTCAATATTCATGGCAAGCCATATGGTAATAGCAAAACGAAAACCAGACCGATGCAACATCATACTTCCTTTTGCTCCAATGAAAACAGAAATATAACATAACAGAATAAAAATTTGTGATAAATAGCTTTCCTTAAGACCTTTTTTATGCTGTGTTCCTCAAAAAGATAAAGGGAAAGCTTCTGCTGAGTCAACTCAGTTCTTGGTGTTTACTTGGACATGCCCATGCAGTTTTCTTGGCAACGGTATAGAAGTGGTATGCTGGTTCTTTCAACTTCCCAGCCTAGCCTATAACCCTGGCATTTCCTGGTGATCTATCCAGCTACAGATCTGACCCAGCTTCGCCCAGACAAAATCAGCCAGATTTCCTACAAACGTATAAGGATTTTGTTCAAAAGTGGCAAACATAATGAAACAGGCATCCAAAGTTGTAGGTTGTTTTAAGGCAGAGATGTGCAACCTGTAAATCTCTGATGCGTGTGCCCCCATCAAAGATCCCTTCCAAATATTGCCACTAAACTATAATCTCAGGAGAACATTTCAGAAAATAGGGAGCAATAATACTAACTGTGTTTAACTAACTCAAACCAAATTTAGGGTTGTTGTTTTTTTAATTGATCCCATCTTTTTCCAACCAAACTCCCATCGTGAGCTAATAGGATGAGCTATGCAGAGATTCTGGCACAACCAAGAGAATTACAGTAATGAGATTTGCTGTTATCTCACCAGTTTATTTGGAAGACTAGGACACGTTATCTCTGACCCTTCCTAAAATCATGAGCAGGATAGATAGGCTGGGTGAGGAGGAAGCAATAACTCTTTTCTGAGACACTTTCTCCTCAAAAAGAACAATGGGACATGATGGTGCAGCCCCTTCTGTGAATCCAATGAGAATAAGTAGGATCTCATTATTAGGAAAGCTGTAGCTTGCCATTTCATATTTTGATAGCTTTTAAGGACCTTCCAAGGAGAGCTTGTCTCACAATATGAGGCACTGCTGGTTAATCCTCCATTGCTCCCATCCCAATTAAACTTAGACTGTAAGTTCTTTGAGGCACGGGACCAGGTTTTTTACTGAAACCAATATCATATGGCAGATGCAGTGCAAGTACATAAATGTGTGTACCCTTTTCTCTTCCAGTAAAACAGCTCTGCTGGAGGGCCTGGAGGTGGATCAATATATGTGGGGTATTTTGAACGCTATACAAAAGTAAGTGTAACTTTAATGTTGAAAACTGGGCCTCTGTTATATTCACACACCTATTCTAATTATTGGTGGGCCTTTTCTAGAGTCTGTTTCAATGTAGAATTTTAGAAGGCAAATTCAGTAAAATCCCATTATCTCATAGCGTGTTTTCCTTCTGTGTGAATTCTGGACTCCAAAGATCTTTCCTGAATTGTGAATATTAATGTGGTGGTTCTTTTCAGCTTTAAGTCAGCAAGGAGGACAGAAAGTGAGGAACATATCAAAGAGTTGGTGGCTGATTCTAATCAATAGCAACCAGGTTTAAAGTAGGCTAATGTAGTAACTAACACATCTGACTAGACTGTCTAATGAGCTTACTTTTCTCCTGCTACTTGCAAGGATATCTGATTAGTGGGTGAAGAGCTATGCAGATGAAAGAATCTCTTTGTTCTGAAAGAAGTATGGCCACCTTAGCAAGATGATAACACTGGCTTCAAATGAGCCGTAATGAATGTTATGCAACTACTAAAAAGCCAATTATATCTTGGAGCACAGTAACAGAAGCACAGAGTCCAGATCATGGGAAGTCATAGTTCTACTTTATTCTTCCCCGGTCAGACCTCTGATAGTATTCTGTCCAGATCTGGGCATCACAGTTCTAAAAGGGCAGTGCCAAATAGGTGCAAGTTCAGAGAAGGGTCTGGAAACCAAGCCATATGAGGAATGATGAAAGAATCTGGGTATGTGTAATCTGCAGAAGAAAATGACTGAGGGGAGGTATGATAGCAGTTTTTAAGTATCTGAAGGGCTGTCACACAGAAGGAGTGGACTTAATTTGTCACCGAAGGCAGAACTATAACCATTGGGGTAAAACTACTAGGAAGAAAATTTAGGTAAGACATCAGGAAGAACTTCCTGACTGTACAAGCCAATAAGTCACATGATGTGGTGAAGTTTCCTTCATTAGAGGTCTTCAGACAGAGATGATTGGTCATTTGTTAGAGATGCTCTAGTGGATCCTGCGTTGAGCAAGGAGTTGGACTAATTACCCTATGGTCTCCCTTGCAACTCAACAATTCTGTGACTGTGAATATGAACAAGGCCAATCATATGTTTCTATTCTGAACTACCCAAGCAGAGCTTTTAAAGAAAAATGGGCTTGTGGACCTAACATGTAAGAATTATTAAAAAGATCATTGATGGGCTTTCTTTCTTTGGACATGTTCAAGCAGAGGCTAGACAATCCATTTGTTGGGAATGTTTTAATTTGGATTCCTGCACTGGTTAGGCTGTTGGATTTGATGACTTCAGTAAGATTATGGTATTAATAACATCTAAAATGTATATGCTGCATTGAGAGCTTATCAGTATTATAGAATGTACTGTGTTTTACAGCTCTGAGTTTGAGGAAGTCACAATTGACCCAACATGCAGCTGGAGACCTGTTCCAATCAAGTCAGACATTCACATCAAGGATGATCCAGATGGCATTCCCTCTAAAAGATTTAAAACCATGAGTCCTAGCCAGATGATCATGCCTAATGTGATGGAGATGATTGCTGCCTTGGGTCCAGGTCCATCTCCTTACCCATCAATTCCACCACCACCTGGTGGCACCAATTCCAATGAATACAGTAGCCAAGGTGAGTTTAACATTGGATGTGTGCAACTGATTCTCAAAAGAGCCAATTCACTTGGAAATATCTAGAGCTACCTTTTCCTCTCCCAGACCTTTGATTGACATTGGTGGAATATCTCCCCTAATTTCTTGATCCTTCACTGAGGTCCAGTGAGCTAGCCTGATCTAGCCCTGTATGTGAACCTTCCTTGTGCATTTAAAAAAATCAGAAGTGTCTTATGTATATTTATTGTATTGCCGTTGTCTTTCTGTCTGTGAGTCTGTCTATGCATCAGTCCATACATCTTTCTCTGGTCGTCTCCCATCGTTGTATTAACCATGGCAAACTCTTTTTAACTTCCTTTTTAGAGTCAGGTGGCCTCAAAATCCAATAAATAAATAAATAAATGTGACTTATGTATGCAGCATATATACTGTGTCCTCATTCATAATAATAAGTAGGTGGAAGACAGGTAATTTTCTATCCCAAGTTCATACTTGCTTTGGAATCAACATATTTTTGTATGAGGCTACCCAAGGCTTAAAAATATATAGGCAGGACTGACAAACTATGAATTACGTTTTAGCAGAAATTCTAGGGTAAATGAAATAAAAGTCTCCTGTGAGTCAAGCTCAACTTCTGGAATATCCAAGTAGTTTTCTTGGCAACAAAATGGAAATTATTTGCCGTTGTCTTTCTGTCTGTCAGTCTGTCTATGCATCAATCCATACATCTTTCTCTGGTCATCTCCCATCATTGTATTAACCATGCCAAACTCTTTTTAACTTCCAATCCCAGATAAGGTAACAATTGGTGAGAAAGGGTATCTAAATAGCAAAGCATTTAACAAAATGGACCAGCTATTATCAGGGTTTTAGGGAAACCAACAGATTTGGTTGTTAGTCATTTTGTGAATGAATAAGCAGATGCAATATTAGTCTCTTGAGAATTACGTTAGCGGATTCAGTCAAGCTGAGCTCAAGAGCAGGTCAGCCATTTAAAGGTGATTTTCCAGCTGTCTTTTCAAGTGACATCTTAATTGCAGGTTGCCACCTTGCAGTTCTCTATCACAGAGACCCTGAAAGAAATGTCTGAGATAAAGGCAAAAAGCTTCTTAACTCTCCCCATTTCCAGCGTGAAGAAGCCTCACCAGCAGCCCCCTGCTATACTTTCAAGTCCTAAATGTCCTTTCCTCCAAATGTACACAGTTGAGGAGCAAACAGCTCTCCTCCCGCCTTGTCTTAATCCAAAATATGGACTGGGTTCACGCATGGTGCTAAGCCCAAGTTTGCTTAACCAGTGGTTTATTGAATAAACCACAGTTGGCTGCCAGAATGCCAAGCCAGAGCCAAACAAAGCACACTAAGGATTTGTGGGATACGTGGACTTAGCCAGTGTTCCTGTTGAAGTGGTTCATTGGTCACAGACTTTGCCAAGATGGCTCTCTCTCTTTTTGTGTTTGTCCTATTTTGTTGAATACTAAGTTCCTCGGTGCCTTTCTTCAGGCCCTGATGAGAAGGACTTTAGGAATCCATCATGAAGCAAGATATTAGTCACCCAGTTTCATATGGTTGATTTAGAAGTAATTATCCATGTTTGCATTTCTTTCCTGAGTCACACTGGACTCCTGGTGACTCCATGGACACAGCCATGGTGTTTTCTTCACAACAATATTGAAATGGTCCACCCTTGCCATTTTTCAAGATTTTTTTTCCCCAAATGGCTAGATATCCTATTTTCCAAATATCCTTGTGATCTCCTGCCAAATGCTAACTAGATTCTGCTTAATTTGCAAGTGCAAGCAAACTTTGGATTAAAGAAAAAGTCATCAATGGAAGTCTCATCAGACTCTCTGTTTGGCTTGAAAGTGGCAAAGCTTCTGCTCTTCAGCTGACAACATAGCATCCCCTCCAGACATGATGCATTTTCAAGGCTCTGTGTGATCCAGTTCAATGACTGACTTTGCAGTTTTTGTTCCTCTTTGGCTTCATGGAAACCACCAAGGCTGCCCTTGTAGTTTAAATTTTTTAACTGAAATGTTCAGACTGTAATGGGAATAAATAAGGAAATAATTGCAGCCCTCTGACATTGGATTGGAGAGAATTGATTGGACTATAGATATATCTTAGGGAATTGACCAATTCCTGAATGTACCCATTATATTTCTGCATCAATTTCAAGGAACGCAGATAGGACCATGTGAAATATAAAACACAAATAAATCCCAATACCATCAGGAACCTATCATGGCACAGAAGATTGGATAAAATTTCAGATAGTTTTAATGACCAATTGATTGAGTGATTGACTATGTGCTATAGAGTTGATATCAACTTTTAGTGACCACACAGATAGATTTTCTCTATGACAATCTGTCCATAACCTGGTCGTTCAGGTCTTCCAGTGGCGCATCATCACCACTATAGCTGACTCCATCCACCTTGCTGCTGGTCGTCCTTTTCTTTCCTTCCACCTTTCCCTGCATTAAAGCCGTTAGGTGCATTATTTTGCATAATGTGTCCAAAGTAGATAACTTGAGCCTGACCGTTTGTGCCTTGAGTGAGAACTCTGGCTTCATTTGTTCGATGATCTATTGGTTTGTTTTCTTGGCTGTCCAGGGTATTCTCAGGAGTCTTCTCCAACACCAACTTCAAAAGTGTCAATACTCTTCCTATCCTGCTTCTTCAAAGTCCAGCTTTCACTTCCATTTCAAATAGATAGGCTCTCACAATTCATTAAAAATGTTGCTAAAAGTGGCAGTTAAAAAAATAAGAATGTTGGACTACAGGAACAAACTGGCTATCTCTGGAGTAATTATCTTTTACTGAGAATAGATGACAACTTTCTTTCCTTCCCCTCCTTCCCTGTTGCCTCCAGCTTCTCAGTTCAACATCAACTGATTATTGTTCAGGATACATTCAGATGTGTTTTTTATTATGAAATTGTTCCACCTCATTCACAAAATTTTAGGGGAGGGACAGCAGTTTGCATCCAATATAATCTATCTGTTTCTTTATATGATTTATATGGCCACGCAACTCACCAATAGTGATTCTGGGTGGCTTACATACGATGAAAACCAGAAAAAACAATAACAAAATATGCAAAATATTACAGTGCAGGATAATTGAATTCAAATCACCACATATGCCAATCCAAAGTCACTTCAGAATGAGCTTTCTGGACCAACACCTGGGAAGAAAATCAGGTTTTCAAGGCTTTTTGGAAAGCCAGCAGGGATCATCTGAATCTCAGGGGTGAAAAGACAGGTTCTTAACTTCAGGACTTCCTTTCTTACAAGAAAAATAATCTGTTGAGACCAAGCTGGAATGGATTTTAATTCATTGGATAAGGAGGCCACCATCTGAAGTTGCCCCCAGAAGCTTTCTTCTTTCTCAGCAAAATGAATGGAAAGTGGAAATAAGCAAAGAGGGTGCTGCAGCTGGTTGGAATAGAGTAAAGAAAAATATGGAACATGTTGTATGAATATGAAGATTAGGTGCTAAATGCAATAGAAGCGGTATAGGATCAAAGCAAAGCAGGTGTAGGAATAAACTGGAATATTTAGCAAATGTTTCAACATTCAACAGGGTAGAAGACCAAGTTGTGTGTTATTTCTCTGGTTGTAATGTTAGAAGTATATTGTCATGAATGTGAATGTGTATGTATTTTTGTATGCAAATGATGTTGAAATATAAGCACATTATTATACACAGACCCTTTTCCTTTCTTTCAGCAAACTTTCATTCCTCTTAACAGACCATGCTAACTGCTCCCTTTCTACCAGCATTTGCAAGGTGTTTTTTTCTTTTTTCCATTTTAAATCAATAGTCTACCAAGATACACAAATTCATTTACTTGTTCTGTCTCTCTCTCTCTCTCTCTCTCTCTCTCTCTCTGTGTATATATGCAGTATATACATTGATATACAATATAAGCCCTGTATATAAAAAAAGGGTGGGACTTCGATTGCATGGCTGTGCCCAACATCTTGACTCTTTTGGCAAGCTCTTTGCAGACACCCCTGCTTCTTAAGTACCCCATTCTCATTGCATTCAGCTTACTTTGATGCCTCTGCTGGGATGCTCAATTCTCACTTCTGGGTGAGCACATCTTCTACATAACCCTTTACACTTATTTCAATGCATTCCTTGCAACAGACCACATACGAACCACTACCCTTCTACTAGCATTTACATGTCTTAGAATAGAATGCATTGAAGAAGTAATACTTGAACAATTTGTAGGGGTAAGCAAAAAGAGATGGGAGCAAGAATGTCTGAGTAATGAATGGACTGAATACAAAAGTAAGTACGTTGATATGGTTTGGTCATGCACAGAAATGGAATGAGGATTGAATCACAAAACAAATATATGAAGACAGAGTAAATGGGTGGAAAGCAAGGGAAGACTGAAAAAGTTGTGAGTTGATTAGGTTCATAAAAGGAGAACATTTAGGGAGTATAAAGATTTTAAAGAACAAAAGGCAATGGATGAATAGGTGTATGGATTTGGTGGAAGCAAGGATGGTTTGCCAGGTAGAAATTAGTGTTTAGTTGTTGTTGTTTTTTCCCCCCTCATCAAATGTCTTTAATTTCTTCTGTTTGAAACTCCTTTCATACTTCCTGCGTGACATCAGCCCTATTTTTAGCAAAGGTTCATAATGTTGTGCTTCAGTCCCATGATTTCCAGGGTCAGCATCCTGATCATATCTTCTTTGCTTTTGAAGAAAGCTATAGAGGAAGGAAGTCTACCACATCAGCCTTTTTAAGTTAGCCACTACCAATGCCTGATACCCAATTCCAGTTCTCCCTTAGGACTGTGAACAGGTTAGTAGATAGTAGCAGAAGGCAAGGAGGACAGCAGAAAAATCCAAAACAGTTTTCAATTTTTGGGTAGGGTGAAGATTGGACCAATTTGGGAATTTTTCTTTACCTGCTATAAACCTTGCACTGACCTTGTGAATGAACTGTATTCATGGATGACAACTGCTGTTCCTCAAGATTAGCTATTCATTCCTCGGGTTTCCCTAAATAGTGGACTAACAGATATATTCCTGCCAATATCTTCTCTTTTTCTACGTTCCCACCTATTGGTTCCAAAGTTTTGTTTCCAGTCTTTCTCTCTTCTTTCTTCTTCTGATGCTGTATTGCTCCTGTGCTTGAAGATCACTAACTGATTTTCATCTCTACCCACCTAGTTCTACTGGACAGTGATTCCATTTTGATCAACTTTTACCATATCATTGGTATTTAAAAAAAAATAGCAACCAAAATTTAGCTAGATGTGGCTCTACAAATGCCATTAAGTCGAGAATGAAGAAGATGGCCACCTGACCACTCTGGAAGTTACTTATAACCAGCATTGTTCTGTAGGAAACACAGTTATTTAAATCACTCTTGATATGAAGGTTTTAAAAAAGAAAGAAAAAAACACACCTCATATTGTGTCATTAGGATCAACTAATGTGGTTGGTGTCTGGTTCTATAAATGAAATAGTAAGTAAGCCAGTTCTAAATACATGCAGTATGAGCAAAGGGCCTCAGTGGGATGGAAATCTCTTATTATTGCAACTTTCATAGAATATGGCTGGGTCATTGGGACTTGGGCTTGTTGGTCTGGGTTTGATTTTGTAAAAATATACATTTGATTCTCCTTTCCAAATGCACGCTTTCTTTCTCTTTACTATTTAGGTAACAGTTACCAAGGTCACAGCAATTTTGATTTTCCCCACGGGAATCCCGGTGGGACGTCTATGAATGACTTCATGCATGGTCCCCAGCTGTCACACCCACCGGATATGACCAGCAACATGGCAGCACTTGATAAACCCCTAAGTCACCCCATGCAGGAACCTGTAAGGATCTTACTTATTTACCTTGCTTAAATGACCTTCTATCAACAGGTAGTTTGCATAATTGAGAGTATACAGGAAGCACAGTAAAAGGAAACCTTAAAAAAAACCTGTTTTGGGCAGCAGGAAAAAGAAAAGAAAGTGAGCTCCTAAATGATGTATTGTTTCATCTTTGTAAGGGAATACCTGGGAAGGGATGAAGCAGAGATTAGATGACCAGCTCTGGCTTCTTCTGAAGTAGCCACCCTTGGAAATAGACTGGTACATGGACATCCATGGGGACCAGTGATGATATTTGTGTGATACCACACTTACCTGTTCACATGCCACAACTTACCTATTTGCATTAGATGTCCTAAAAGAGGTGTTTTCTACAGTGTAATGGTTAAGGTGCAGGACTGACACGGCGACACCCGGGTTCTAGCTCGCCCTCAGCCATGGGAGCTTACTCTGTCTCTCTGTTGTATCTGAAAGGCCATTTGGCCATTTTGCACATGTGTCAAAATATGTAGCTGCCCCCCTAGTCCTTTAAAACCGGGGGAGGGCCTCAGCTCTTTAACCACCATCTTGCCCCCTACCTTCCTCAGAGGCCATGGAAATGGCCAGGAGGAACCAAGTCACCAGTTTTCAAGCAGGAAGAAAGATGTCTGCGGCCTCCAAAAGTCCAAATAGTGTCTCACTGCATTGTAAACAAAAACTAAGAGGAACATCTGTCTTATGCTTTCCATGCCATTTTTTCCACTGCCAATGTCGTAGCTCAGTATACCCACCAGTCCACCCCTCCCCAGTTATCCCAGTGCCTTCTCAGTGATCTTCCCAGATGGTTAAATGTTGCCTGTTGCGTACAAAGTATGTTAAATGAAGGTCTATTAAATCAAGCTTTTAAGGCCTTGAAAAATATTTAACTTGGCTGCCAAAGTTGCATAAGAACATAAAGGCCAAATCAACACAAGCACATCATTCAAGTGGTTTCAGCAATCGTGGTAGCTGTCCTGTCTACAGTCCTCATCTGTTCCTCAGCTAATAAAACTGCCTTTTATTGGACCTTGTATGCTATTTGCCAAAACGTTGCAGCTTTTAATGTTACTGCATCATTCACTTCCGATACAAGATAAAGTACATAACAATTGTCTGACCTTCCTGGACAATCTTTTAGGAGCGGTAACGAAGAAGAATCGTGTCTGTCTTTCTAGACATTACAAAACAATACGTGGACAACTGCTTCCATATTTCCTATTTTGCCTGGCACATTTTAACTTTTTTTTTCCCCCAAGCACCACTGCGGGATACAAAAGCCCTGTGTGGTATTTTGGGATTATGATCATCGCAAAGTTGCTAAATTAAAAGTATGGATCTGATTTTCCAAGTGAAAAAAGCTGTTTGCCTAACTGAAATCCTGTTTGCCTTTCCATATCCCAAACATGTTGCTTAGTCAATGGCCCAGTTTTTGCATAGCCCTTAAAACAAGGACATTTGAGAAGAGGGCAGAGCAACACAGCTGCCCTTCTAGTGAGTACTTCCAGAGAGATGGAGATTTATCTAATAATACAAGGGGAGATAAAGCAGTAGGGAAAAAAATTAACTTGAATCCTAAGTCAAGAATATCTAGCCACCCTACTCAGACTCCTAGTTTCCAATTGGAGGGTTGCATTTTTAACACAACATGGCATCAGGAGTGTATTTCTCAGAAATTTTGATGGTGGGACTTCTAATTTTGCCAAGATAGTATATGGGCCAATTTGTATACCATGCAGTAGCTGTGTCTCTATCTAACAAGGTACATTTTTATTTTAGCAAGAATAAATTAAAGCCTTTTAGAATGACAGTTCTAGTTAATAGCTCATCGATCTCGAGGTCTTTCACAGGACATACTTTAATCCAGGTTCCTGTAGTACAGTCCTCTAACGGATCGTCAGAGCTTCCTGTGGGTCCTGAAGGCAGTCTGAGAGTGAACGAATATCCTCAAAGTTTGGTGTTTGTTCCATTAATGGCATACATTGGTTTGTTCCATTAATTTCCTAAACCAAGTCATCTAGAGTGTGATGCAGTGCTACGAAAAGGAATCCTATTTCCACCCCTACTTAAATCAGTTCACTTTAAGGAATAATGAGAGTGAGTTGTCAATCAGGCCTGATAAATCTCACACACTTTGGCTATACTCAGTTCTGACCACATGCACAATACCTACCAAACCCCAAAGAGATTTCTGATAGCCTCTGGTCCACTCTCCCTCCATGCCATGCTAAGCCTTTTCTAGACCATGGCATTCCAAGGCAATTTTGTGGTTTTTGGAAGTAGTTCGATGCTTCCAAGGCTTGAAATAGGTCTGTGTCAACTAGAATGCCAAGGCATGTCTCAGATACCTCGAACACCTCCAGGTTTGGAGGATTTGCTTCTGGAAACAGCTGAACTGTCCAGAGTTCTCCAGAACATTCTACCTCAAACCGGTGAGGTATGTCCTAGTTGCAGTTACTGTAGCTAAAGGCAGCCAGTTACTCAATCTAAGGGCAGGATTACTTTTTCAAGCTAGTATACTGCATATTTTGTTTCTGAAATAAATGAAACGAAAAAAAAAATCCATTTTGGGATTCTTTGTTTATTTTCAGATTCCCTTTATAGATCATTAGGACTCAGATAAAAGCTTTTCTAACATTCAACTCCAATGATATGCAAAGATTCAGAAATCCAAAAGGAGGCAAATGCTTTCTGAACGAAAAATACATTTTCGTATTTAAAAGAGGAAAGCTGTTCTAGCTTGTGATTATTTAAGATTCGCTTCCCAGTGTGAGGTCTCTCCCAGAAGCCATTACCGTAGCCTTTTCATAATTTATTTCTAATGTCTGTTGGCTATAGTAAGATGAAGCGGTCTGCAGTGCATGCCTTAATGCAATTGATTCTGAGGCTGAAAAATAGCATTGTCTGCAAAAAGTGAAATTGAGCCAATATTCAGCTTCATTTCACACACTTTCTAAGGACTGAGAGTAACCAGGTACTAAGAAACATAGGTGCAACACGTCTTCCTTCCCCCCTCCCTCCCTCCCGATAATAGGAAGAGGGAAGAAAAAGAAAACTTGGTTTCCCCCATTCCACCATCCAAATAGGAAAGAGAACAGCATCTACAAATACCTGTCCCCCTCCCCCCACTCCCTCTTTCTCCCAAAACAAAATATGCAATGTTACTTTTGATTTTTACAAACAGAAAATGCAAATTTTACAAAATATGGCTTGGATCATTATTCTCTTCTCCCACGTCAAAGGAGAGAGATGTCGTGGTTATCTGTGTGCTGTCTGAAGGACCAGCTGCAAATTCTAGCATATCACTTTGAACATTTGGGGCAGGGAGGGGGACTTGGGCCTTTGTAGGAGACAAATGTTCCATCTTAGGGCTCAATCACATAGGCAGGTGTCACTTATAAGGGGTTCACCCACTTGCATCTAACCATGGCACAGACATGTCTGAGTAACTTCGATTTGCCAACATCTCTCCATGGTGTTGTCTTCATCTTGCCCTTTTTATCTGGACCAGCATTAAAGGTGGCATTTTCCCCATTCTTCCAACCCATCCAAGGGCAGCCTCCAGAAGTGTATAATGGGTTAGGTTTTGTTAGTCATTATCTTGAAAGAAGTGAGGACTGGCATAGGCAATAGAGGCAGATCAATGTCACACTGGTGATTTCTACCAACTCAAGGATGGGGGCGGGGGGGGGGCAGCCAAGCACTTCAACTTAGCAGTGGGAAAAGGCCCATGGCATTTTCTAGAGTCACCTGAACAGTGTTGTGTCAATACTGCAGTAATGATGGTATGATTTATAGTAAGATGGCTGGGTGACAGTAGAGGATGCTTTAAGTCACTAGTAAAGATGTCTCCTTAATTTGTCTGGAAGCTGTCTCGATGAGTAAATGACGAAGTTTGAAAGGCAACCACTGAGTACCTTGCCTTTAAAATGAATGAGAAACTAGATTCGTCTTCAGATATTCAAGAGTAGAATGCCAGTATCAGTGGGAACCCAAATGACGATGTCAGCTATCTAAAGCAGAAGAAAATTTAGCTGTTTGAAAACATTGTCTCCTGTGGCTATGTACATGAAAATAGTTCTGTATTATGCACCCATAAGTCTATGTGCTCTAGGAGTTCCGTGCGCTTTCTTTTAATTTGCATTGTGTCCTTCTGTTTGTGCATGGGGTTTGCAACTATATATTCAGGTGAGTTTAGGAGAAAATCTTTTTTAAAAATATTCATGCATATAATTTTCTTCAGTCATTATGGTCTGCAACGAAGGAACACCTATGTAAAAGGAGTGACCTTCACTAGGATATTGACTTCAAATACACACACACACAAGTGTATGTCTGTATGCAGAAGAGTAAGAATATTTGGAGGGTTTTTAAAAAGAGAAAAGAATATGTGAAACTTTAAGTTTCTCATTTTTTTGTTCCTCACACCATGCACTAAATTATCAAGAGCTGATTCTCTGATATCTCTTTCTAGCTAGAAGATATAATTTGTTAACTCCTATTTTGCCTAAAGGAAAGGTGCAGAAAGTTGTGCTCAGCTTATTAGGATTCATACTAGAGAAGTTACTCAATGCCTACATCTTTCCATCCACAGAGAGTTTTCAAGGCATCAGCCTGGATCTGGATCCCCTAGCAAATGGAACCACCATCTCTTATTCCAAGCGTCTTTCCTAATGGCTAGGGCTCAGTGTCAGATGAGTGCCCAAACTGCAATACGGGCCTCTCCTTGATGATTAAGGTTTATGCACAATCTCCCCCCGCACCATGCCCTATCCATCTTCCAGCTTGACACCTCATTGCCTCATGTCTCCTTTCCTGCTTCTTTCCTCCTCTGCAGATCCCTCATCCTGGCAACACTGATCAGTCCCATAGTTCCATGCAGCAAGGTTTGCACGTCCCTCATCCCAGCAGCCAGTCAGGGCAGCCATTACATCACAGCGGTCCCCCGACTCAGCCGTCCCGGCAGCCGACCCAGGCCGCTGCTAGCAACCATCCACACAGTGAGCTGGCTTTTAACCCCTCGGCAGCTTTAGAAGCTCAACCTGGTGGGCAGGGAACATCTGACATGCCGGAGCCTTCGCTGGATGTAAGTCTGTGTCATTCTGTCATCTGCTTCCCTTCAAAGTGCATTTGGGGTCACAAGAGGTGGAAGAAAGGACAGCTTTCATTGTCTGTGCCCATACATTGGTCAGGGGGTTAGTTGGGGCAAACCCAGCCTGTCTACTGTGGCACAACAAAAAATGGATCAATTCAGTAACCAAACTAAGCCTTAGTGTAGTGCAGAGAAACTTGCAGAATTTACTATTTCCATGATGGGGCCGGTGGGGGGGTGTTTGTAGTCACAAAAGTAGGAGGGGAAGGGAGATAAGCAAGAGTAAAAAAGAAGTTTTAAAGAAACTAGAAAACATTTAAATCAATATTACAGGTGCATAGACAATGGAGAATTGCTTAGGCCTGTATAGGGAAGTCAAGAAGTAAGAAGTACTGATATGCATGAAATTCAAATCCATTCTCTGCTTGCTCCTCATTTCCTCTCTGGCAATAAACTTCAGGGACAGCACCTCAGCCAATGGAAATTCTGGCTTCTTGCAGAATGTCTGATTAACAGATTTAAAGGCATAATGTGATAAAATCCTTCTGTTCTTAGAGGGACTTGTTTTGATACAAGAACATGGATCTGGTTTTTGGACAATTTCCCCTCTATCACCAGCCCTTTTCTCCAATCCTATCATATTCAGAATGGTCTTCTGCCCCTCCACAGAGGCATTTTGAGGTCCATACATGGCTCTCCTTCTCTAAACCTTAGCACAGATTCCCTTGAGTTGGTCAACACCTGTTGTATATAGGGACATATTCATGTAGCGTTCTTGATAACAGAAATGGTTTAACATCGTCTTATTCCAGGATGTTTTTACAGCTTCCCAAACTACTTCCAGCTTCCTGGAATTAATCAGCTCCAACCCTGCTCAGCTTTTAAAGTTCCACCACGGTTGCAATTACAAATTCCAAAATAAGGATTTAGAATGGTAGAGCTGCAAGAGGTCATTTTGGCCACTAAGGCTAAGCCATTGTTCATTTTGTTGACTAATTCTAGCTAAAACAGCCTATAACAAAAGAAGAATGTAAGACAGCTGAAATTCTTAAAAATAGAGTAATTAATAATACCTTCTGTGCATGTGCACCAATTGTTAAAAGGTGAAGGACTAGATGTTAAAAGACATGAATAAGGTGATCTGGCTGTAACATGTCACCTTATTGTTCTTCAGGGTTGCTTGGCTGATCTGGCAAGCTAGGTGGTGTCCCTTCCTCCTTCACCACTCCATGTGTGTCCCTCATGAAGCTACATGCTCAGTGGAAGAGGGCGACCATCCCAGATAGATCAAGGGTATTCAAGAACTGCATTCCCCTGCTAGAATCTTCAAAATGTTCAAGGTCCATTTGTAGGAAACATGATCTCTTGTAGAGCTGATTAGCCACATTGGTGTCAGACATTTGTATTTTAGACTCAGAAATGTTCTTCCTTTTTGATTCCTTCCTGTGGCTAGTATTTTAATGTTGTGTAATGTTTGCTATGCCCAGCTAGGTGGCAGCATCTAGCTAACTCTGGCTAGTCTGAACACGCTGAACAGGTTGGACCCTCTTAGTCCTCAGATAGAGCCCTGGGAACTCCCAGGGCTACAAACTGGGAAACTGGGAAAGAAAAAACATCCTGAAAGAAGGCAATATAGTCATCAAAACAACTACATGGACATGTTCATGAAGTTACTGAGTTAAGTTAACTCTAAGGAGACTTTACTGTTTGTCTACATTTGCTAAATTGCAGTAATATCAATTTTGCATAGAAGAAAGTCATTTATCATTGTTTGTGATTAGCTGGGGCAAAATAATTTGTGGGGGAAAAGTGTGTATGTTCTCCCCAAACAAGAAAGACACAGAGCAGTTGAGAAAAGCTATCATGCAAGACTTCATAGGGAAAAAAAAAAAATTCCAAAATGTGGTTGGAAAGACCTATGTAGGTAAACACTTACCACTGTTTCAGTTCACATCTATATGTTCAGATAAGAGTGTTCAAACTGTTTAAGCTGCAACAAATATCCATGACATTTGAAGGGAAAGAGTCGGAATATAATTTTATGTCTCTGACATTGGCAGATCAAAGGACTTAACAGTGTTTTCACTCAGGAAGTATCACACTTCACTTCATGTAACGCAGGAGTGGGGAATGTACTGAACAGATGAATCAAAGAAGCTACATGATATTAGCTAATTAAACAGCATTGATCAGTTTTATTTGTTCTGTTCATTGATGAATGATTGTCGTATTGGATTTTTTAAAGCTTTCTCCCAGAAAATCTGACTTTAAACATGCCTGAATGCAACTAGGAGAGGACTGTTGGCTTTAAGGAAATCATTGTAGAAGTAACTTTTTACATGACTTGTTACCTGTGTTTGTAACCGTATTTGCTGCCAATCTGATGACTGCATTGACAGAATGCTCCTGACCACCATATTGGCTGCTGCTAAACATTTTGACTGCCACTTTGGCATATCAAGCAAATATATTTCTGACACGGGGTAACCTACGTGTGGGTGTGTCCTAGCTTTGTGAAAACTAAGAGAAGGTATATCTTAGAACAGATGAGCAAAAGTCTTAGTAAAACTGTTAGCCATCTGTTTTATGGAGATGTGGGAGTAAATGTGTGAAAGGTCTTTCTGATCAAGACTTTTCTTCAAGTATATAATTTTATCTTTGGGGATAAAGATCTCAGCTAGTATGTTCTTTGGAAGGCTATTTATGTGCACGTACAAACTGTGTTTTTGTGTGTGAGAGAGAAAGGTGCTCAAAAAGGCATTTCTATTCAGTTTCTGTCGAAGAAGGCACCACAGCATGTCAAAGTTTTGTTGTTGTTGTGCCCTAGTCATATTGAGAGTCCCTGTCAATGCTTTAGAGGTTGCATCTTCCAACGAAGGAGGGGCATTGATGCCTGCACGCTGACAAGAGCTTCACTAGATGTCTTCTCTTTCTGTTGTAGCTGCTTCCGGAGCTCACAAATCCAGATGAGTTACTTTCATATTTGGATCCTCCTGACTTACCAAGCAATAGCAACGACGACCTTCTTTCTCTTTTTGAGAACAACTGAAGCCTTCTGCATTTTACTCCCAACACCTTTCACCTGTATGACACATCTGTAGCTTCACAGTGAGGAATTTCTAGTTACTCTTTTCCACAAGGACAAGCTCACAGCTTGAGCATACAGCACACACTCCTTCCTTTCCTCATCTCAGAACTGCTTGAGTCAAAGTTTTGGTCGTGGCGGTGGGGAGAAGCGAGAGGACAATATGGCATTGACCTTCTAGACTGCCTTGCCACATCACAGACCGCTTGTAGAGCTGTGGAAAACCTCACTTCTGTCTAGTTCTGCAGAGAGAACGAGAGTGAATGACTTTTGGGATACCTAGCAAGAAACATCCCAGCCAGTCTCAGCAAGGGAAGAAAGAGACAGCAACAGGTCCATTCTTAACGACCAGTTTCAGAGTGTCTTTCCAACCTGTGTTCTTCCATGCATTTCCTTCCTTTTGCTGTAATGTCTGTTCCACTCAGTCCTCCCCAAGTTATGCAGGTTCCAGTCTATCTGTCATCTGTCTAAGGACAACATTTGGCAGCACGTTCAGACTAACTGAGCACTCGGAATCATAAAATACCAAAAAGCACAAAGAAATCAGTAATGTCACAAGTAGGATAAAAATACAACATGTATCAAAGGGAGACATCAGACTGTGGTTTTTCCATTGTGGGAGAGTCCTGTGAAATCTCCAGGTTGTGGCGAGCGTGTTTTTTTCTAGTAAATTGTAGCAATCTTTTTTGTTTTAATTACTCTTATGAGCAGAATAACTCTTTCCCTTTACACAATGTATATTGTCCTACTTCTCATGTGTTTTCCTACAAAAGTTTGTTTTCAGTTTATTGCCTTTTTTTATAATAGAGCAGCCAGTCACTGAAAAAAAAGAAAGAAAAGAAAAATGGGAGAGAGGACAAGAACCTTATTTGCATATGAAGTGAGCAAACCCTTCAAAATATTGGGGATAAGAACTTCCTCTGTTCTTTAGTTGTGCAGTTAGAACATTGCTCAGTTCCTACCGGGGAAAAAGAAAGTTCCAGGGACTTGAAAAATCCCCCTTGCAGGAGTATCTGGGAGAACTGAGAGTCAAGATGGCAGCCTCAATCATGTGATCAGAATTCTGCCCCTTTTTAACCTGCTGGGCGTGCAATGCGAGTAAAAAAAGAGGCAGGTTTCCATCACACAGTCGCAGCTGAATTCTTGACTCTTTTGACCTATCAGATGTCGCTGCCCACTTCATTCAACCCAAGAGAGGGGAAACTCATTGAAGTAATTGAAACAGGCATTTATATTGGGAGAAACACCGCATAACCCTGATGGCTTGCCTTGTATTTTCCAGGCTGTGTAGTGATCCATCCTTTTGCTATTGTGTTTTATCATTTACCTGCCAGAATCTCTCCCCCTTCTTTTAAAAACACAGATTTCCAAGGATAATGGGCATGGGAAAAAATTAGTCATTCTGGTGCAATTTTCCTGCTGATTCTCATGCCAAATGCTTCCCTGGTACTTGTGATTCTCCCTCGGTTGCTTCCTTCCTGCATGAGCTTCCAGTCACTTCTGGGCCCACTGTTGTGCTGTTGCCCTCTTTTTATAAATTATGTATAGTAAACTGTGTTTTTAAAAAGTGCATGTGTGCCAACTCTGCTCTTTCGCAGGCCAACATTTCATCTTCTGCCTTCTGTGTACAGATATTGCCTGCCTGCCTGCCTGCCTGCCTTCCTCCTTCCTTCCTTCCTTCCTTCCTTCCTTCCTTCCTTCCTTCCTTCCTTCCTTCCTTCCTTCCTTCCTTCCTT